GATTGTTATATGATTCTAATAACCATACAAGAGTTGTTTGCTACTCAGATGCTTATTGGGCAGGATCTCCTTCGGATAGAAGATCTACATCTGGATATTGTGTCTCCATTGGTGGTAACTTGGTCTCATGGAAAAGTAAGAAACAAAGTGTTGTGGCAAGATCTAGTGCAGAATCAGAATATAGAGTTATGGTCTCAGCTGCTTGTGAACTTGTTTGGCTCAAGCAATTGCTCAGAGAGTTACAATTTGGAGATGTCACTCAAATGTCACTTGTGTGTGACAATAAGGCTGCTCTTCATATTAGTTCTAATCCTGTCTTTCATGAGAGGACCAAACACATTGAAATTGACTATCATTTCATTCGAGAAAAGATTATGTCTGGAGACATCAAGACCGAGTTTGTTAACTCAAGTGATCAGCTAGCAGATATTTTTACTAAATCTTTACTGGGTCCTAGAATTGATTATATTTGTAACAAGCTTGGCACATACGATTTGTATGCTCCAGACTTGAGGGGGAGTGTTAGATATTGTTTAGATATTATTTAATATTGTTAAGATATTGTTAGATATTAACCATAATATCAAACAATATCTTCTCGTTTATTCTATTACTTTCAGCTACTCTTTTAGTTGTATCTCTCTACTATAAATAGACTACCCTATGTGTGATTTATACACAATGGAGATTAATCTCAAACTCTATTTCTTCTATATTCAACAGAAGTCATAGGAAATGTGTTTAGAGTATGAAATCCTCATGAAGGACACGACTAACATGTATGAGAAGTAATGTAAAGATCATGAAAAATATTATAACTATATTAGGTAAAAATGAGAATTTTAATATATTAGTCATTATGATAATTAATTGTATTTATTTGAAAAATATATTAATCATTATGAAATAAAAAGTAGTTATCTTGAAAATTAGTCATTGTGATGAAAACTAATCGTTGTAAAGCTAGTCATTGTAAAACTAGCCGTTATGAAAATTAGTCATTGTAAAACTAACTGTTGTAAAAACTAATCATTGTAGAACTAGGCGTTGTAAAACTAGTTGTTATAAATCTATATATAGTTATGGAATGTCATGCAATATCTCACATTTTACAATATTATTCTCAATTTTCAAACACTTCAATTATCCATACAATGAATTTTTAAAACATTGATTTAGACGCATTGTGTAGACGGAGAACTCGAAGATAACAATGATGAAAAAATCATAAGGTTACTACTTAAGTACTAACAACAAGTCGACAATAATGGTGATGACAGACAAAGAAGTAAGGTAGTTCATCGAAATCGTGAACAATGTCATCATCAATTGTTCAATGACTATTTTGCTAAAAGTCTCGTATATACGGAATCTTAATTTTGAAGAAAGTTCCATATGCGAAGGGAGGTTTTTGTCAAAATTATGGAAGTCCTTGACAATCATGATGATTACTTTACACTGAAATTAGATGCAACACGAATAAGATGTCTATCACATTTGAAAAAATACACTATTGTTATTTGCATATTAGCTTATGGCTCACCTGTTGATAGTATGGATAAATGTATTTGAATTGGTGAAAACACTGCAGTAGAATGCCTACAACGATTAGTATCGGACATTTGTGTATTATTTGAAAATGAGTATTTAAGGAGACCTAACAATAAAGACATTGATCGACTACTACAAATAAGAGTCATACTTGGCTTGCCAGCTATGTTAGGATCAATTAATTGCTTGCATTATGAATGAAAAATTTGTCCAGTTGCATGGAAAGGTAAATTTTGTTAAGGTAATCATGTTAACCCTACAATCATTCTCGAAGTTGTGACATCACAAATCTTATGAATTTGACATGCATTTTTTGGTATCACATAATCAAATAATGATATTATTGTGTTAAATCATCTAATATGTTTAATTAAGTTATGTCAGATTTTGCACCTGTGGTACACTATATTGTGAATGAATGCAATATAATATGGGATAATACTTAGCAGATAATATTTATCCAGATTTTGCTACATTTGTGAAAATTATGTCAACGCCACAAGGACAAAAGAGAAAATTATTTGTTCAACGATAAGAGTCAGCAAGAAAGGATGTTAAACGTACATTAGAGTCCTTTAATCTCAATTTTCAATTATACGTGGTCCGACATGTTTTTAGGATACTCATATATTGAAGAACATAATTTATGCATGTATCATATTACACAATATGATTGTTGAGGACAAACAACATACTTATCAAAATCATATTGATTATGATATTAGGAAAAATGACATGTCAATTATTGATATATCCTGAAGTCTTCATCCTAGTTTTAGATCTACATACTTTCAAAAGAACGCAACGTTTAAGATAAAAATACTCATCATCAATTTCAAGCAGATTTAATAGAACATATTTGATAAAAATATGGAGGAGAGAATAATAAAAATTAATTTTATATAGTATATTTTCTAGTGTTATTTAATTTTCATTATATTTTTTTATATTAAAATATGATAGTGCATTATTAATTAAAGTAATTAATTATTTAATGAATATATTTATTTTTTATATAAAATATTAAAATAATATATAAAAAATATAAAAAAAATGAATTATTTAAAATTGTTTAAAATTATTATTTTTGAAATAAAATGAAATGATAGTTACTTAAGGATAATCTACCTATAGACCCTTGTTTTGAAAATAAAACATCTCGTTAAAAATCCTTTCAAAGTATAATATAATATCGATTTAATAATCGTTAATGTAAAAGTAATAAATTGTAAGTTAGGAAATATTTTTTATTAAAATCATGATAAAAATACCTTAATGGCATTAAATACTATACTTCAACAATTTTCAAGGGGTATGCTTAAGTGAATAATTCACATCGTATAAAAACTATTACGATAACAAACTTTTAGTATACTATTTTTATAATTATTATTCTACAAATAATGATTCAACACCTAATAAATAAAAATTTATGTTGACAGTGTTGTTAAAATTATATTAATAATATCAAATGCTACACTTTTCCACAAAAATATTTGATTTAATTAAATTTTTATCTTCAAATATTTGCAAGGTTCTAGTTTCTAAAACTCTAATTATCCCAACTGAGTTGTGTAGTCTTTTATATTATAATTGCATCAATTGAATTATCAATTATCTTAAGAATACGATTTTAAACATACTATTATCTTTTCACATGTCTAAATGATTAAAGTCTCATAATTACTCTATATGAAATAACTATTTGGCATAATTAGCATTTAAAGAACTAAAATTACATATTTTCTATACTAAAAAACATACTTAGGAGAATTATAATACTTAAGAGGACAAAATCAATTAAACAAAAGTATTTTTGGTAATTTTTTTATAAATCCAAAATATCTCCGTGCTGTAAAAAAATATATATATATTAGAATGCTAAAATTTATTCAATAGATAAGAACTTTGTGAAAAGATAAACACACGTGGAGATCAATCATAAAGATCTAGAAAAACACTGAATAGATAAAATGATTCGTAAGCATGTTCAAATTTGTTAGTTTGTAGTTTATTATTAAATTAAGTATTATTTAATGCAAAAGCTTTTCCACGAAACATTTATTATTAGGTTGTTCTAGAAGAAGTTGACCGAAGAATAGGAATATAAAATCCTCAAATGTGTTAACAAGATATTTTTTAAATCTAATTAAGATATGAATTTAAGATTTAAAAATTTAATTAAAATATAATTGGAGTCTAATTAAATATAATAAAATAATACTTTTTATATAATAAATTTACTAGTGATAATAATTTAGAAATATAGTAAAAATTATTATAATAATAATAGTAAATTATAAATATAAAATATATTATAAAAATAAAAATAAAAAAATTAAAATATAATAAAATAATTATTATTTAAAATCAATATAATTAATATAAAATACTAAAAAAATTTAAAATATAATATTTTTTATATAAAAGTTTTAGAATTTATTTATTATCAAAATCGGTTTAATTAAAAAATAATTATTTTTATTTAATTAAAATATAATTATTTAAAAATAACCAATAAATTTCTATATCGATTCCAATTAAATCACTCGATTCAGTTTTTAAAATAATAATTTAACGTATTATTTAAAAGAATATATATATATATATATATATATATATATATATATATATATATAATTGTATTGAAATTAATATATGTAACAATAAAAGCTCCTAAAGTATTAATAATACTATTTTTATAAATAATGTTGCTGTTACGTAAAAAAAACAAAACAATTAAAGAAAAAAACTAACGGTAAATCTTTTGTCATAACATTCTTGAATACTTCACTCACTAACATCTTAAATCACATCTATAAAAAATAAATAATTTTTTAGAATTCCTTTATGTTAATTCTGAATGAGAATAAGAAAAATAAAAATATTTTATTTTATTTTATTTACAAAATATTATAATAATAATAATAATAATATAACTGTTTAAATATTTTTTAATTTCCATAAAATTAATTTAGTTTTAATTTTGATTTTATAACATTTTTTAAAAGAAATTAGTTTTATAATTTTTTTAATAAGTTTTTTTTTAATTTTACCATTATTTTAACTTAAAATATTACATTAAATTAATATTTAATTATAATAATTAATTATTTTTAAGTTGTTAAGTGAAATATAAATAAAAAATTATAAAGGAGGATAAATTTTGAAAATTTAATATAATTGGCTTAAAAGTAATATAAGAAGATATATCTCCTATTTAAAAATGAAAAATGTGATGTTTATAATTACTACTCTAAGAAATGAATTTTGTAAGAGAAAATAAAAAATGGTGATAGTGGAGGCATTGATTAGGAGTTGTGGAACTTTAAGGAATTTTTGAAGATGATGATGATGACTCAGCCCTGTCTGTGGACATGCGTTGCATTAGAAAACAAAACATGTTTTTTGTTTGATTGTAATTGAATATAGTGAATGCAAAGTCCGCCATGGAACGTGTGGAGGATGTTGGGGGTAAACGCAAAGTCCTTTCTCACTCCTTTTCAACGTTCAACACAATCGCTTCCGTGTTGAACTTTAACCATGGTCCATGGAATTGCTTTTCGCGTCATCAAATTTTGATTAGTAACTAACAACAATAAAATTAGGGTATTCTATTTTTCATTTTCGAGAGTAACTTCGTACAAAACGTAAACTAATGTCACTACTAGATTTCACATATATCAAATGGGTAGACATTTGTGTTTTTATAATTGTTAGATTCAAATTGTTTTTTTGTGATCATGCTAACCATGTAGTAAAAAAAAATTTTTTTTTTTAAGGCTTAGTAACTTAATTAATTTTTTGTTTGATGAGAAAAGGGGAGAAAGTGATCTTGGTCGAGGTGTTACATGAGCTTCTAGATGATTGATTAGACCATGTTTAGAAGATTGTAGATGATTATGGATTAGAATATTATTTTCCCTTTTGAGGTGACTTTGCATTAGTGTGGCTTACGAGGTCCTTTGTTTACTTTATTTTTGGCATTTCCCTCATATTGGAGAAACAGACAGAAGGAGGAGAAAATGTACCAGCTACCACCATCCCAACAACTACTTGGCACCACTAATTTCTTTAATATTTCAAAGGAATTAACTAACTCTACTTGTACTTTAACCCAAATCAAATTACATTCTACTCAATTTATTACAATTTAACCTATGCCAGTTTTTAAAGAATAATAAAATGCAAAAATTATAATAATCAGTTTTAATATATTTCTGCATATTTTTATCACTATCCTTACAATATTTTTTCAATCACTAATCGTAATTTCATATTTTATTCTTTAAAGTACAGCTCCTATTTTAGACCAGAACAAAATCCAAACCCATTAATTGAGCACATTTGAAGCAGTGATATAATTTTTTTATAAATTATTGCATATATAATTAAAAATGAATATGTTTTATTTTATATATATATATATATATATATATATAATAATAATAATAATAATAATAATAATAAATTACCAAAAATAGTGGATGAAAGTTATTTGTAATATGATACTTGTTTAATATTTTAATTTTTTAAATGTAGTTTTTGTTCTCGTGTTTATCATTAACATTTTTCATTGTGATCAATTCCATTATTTTAAACTTTTTCTTCTATTTGTACAAATAATTTGTAAAAAATAATATTTTTTATAGAGAATATAAAATGTTTTACGATGAAAAAATATTATTTGAATAGTATTCTTTCAAAATAAGTTAAAGTTATAGAATTGTATAATATCAATGAGAGAATATTTATCTAAAAAATTTAAAGTTTTCTAATTTTTTTTAATTTACATTTTTATTATTCATATTTTAGCTTTTAGTCAATTAACGATTTCATCAAAATTTCAATCTTATTGTCAAATATATCAACTACATCTAACTCAATATATTTTCATTCGATTCAATCTATTTTGATCTTGTTTAACTTAGTTGTACTTAACTCATGCGTGTCCTAGATGAACTAATTGAACATCGTTTACATAATCGCCTAATTTAATTCAATTCAATTTAGTTTAATTCGATGTAATCCAATCTTATTTATTTTAATTCAATTTAGTTCATCACTATATATCTGTATTTTATGACTGGTTCTAAGTCAAATTTTGTATTAAAAGGATTAATAAATCTAACAGGAATAATTTTTATATTTGATAATATTACTAATATTTTATTTAAATAAAAAAATTAAAATTTAATATATTAGAATTATCTTATTCAAAGAAAAATATTTAAAAAATAAATATAATTCAATTTCTTAAAAGTTATAAAGCTTAACGCAAAATACAATACAAAGTATGTACAAAATTATTCCTGACACGATGCAACTAAACCAACGTACCACCATACCATAACATATCATATCCTTTATTACACAACCTGGTACTCGGATTATTTTTCTTAGATATTCGTGTGCATCTAACACCGACACATTTGTCATCTACAAAAAAAATCAATCCACGCCAACTAACCCGTCCAACCCAACTACCAAGCTTGCACGTTAGACCCAAATACCATCTTCAACTACCACTCTTTCAACTCTCTATTTTTCCTTCCCTTTTCTTCTTCATTTCTATGTACCCTTCCACTCTCCTATCAATTTACTTCCTCCTATTAATACTGCTCAATCGTTTCCTTATTCTACACACACTTCATTTTCAGAACATTTACTCAATATTCAAACCTGAAGCTTTCAAAGCTCTTTTCAACGTCCTATTGCAATGGCTGACATAGATCGCTCCTCTGATAAATCGTGTGTTGATTCTAAAGGTACCCTTTTAGAATCCAACTCTTCTAATACCTAGATAAGTATGTTTTTAGATAGTTATAGTTTCTTTGTGTCTATATAGTATACCATGCACATACAATTTTCATAGTACACTAGTGTACTGATGACTAATCTCTTTGCAGTTTTATCCAAGCTTGTTTGGGGTCATTCTTTAGTCTTTTTATGCCTTTACATTTGTCAAATTTGGAATATATACTCTCCAGAATGCTATTCTCTTGGCATTCTTTCTTTCTTTTTTGTGTTGTGACCACCTGAGATTTCAGTCTTTTAGAGTCTTAAAAATGTGTCATCACATTTGATATATTTACAACACGAAGTTATTCATTGCATTCTTTTTAGCAATTTAAAACTATTTAACAAGGCATAATTAACGATCTTAAACTGCGTGATAAGTGTCTTGCATTAGAAAAGTTGTCATTTTCGATCTAAATTTGAAGAGTTGGTTTGTGTTATGTAGAGAAATCCCTCCAAACTTCGAATGTTGAATTTTCTGAGGCTGAGGAAATCCTTATTGCCATGGTGTATAATCTGGTTGGGGAAAGGTGAGTATATATGCATGTTTTCTTTTGTTGAACAATTTTTATTTTTCCATTTTAGATGAAGGTTATGAAACAATTAGCTCTTGCTTAGGTGGTCTTTGATTGCTGGAAGAATTCCAGGAAGAACTGCAGAAGAGATAGAGAAGTACTGGACTTCAAGATACTCGACTAGCCAATGAAGTGGAAGAGAATGAAGCAAGAAAATTTTTGTGTCACTGCATGTGAAAGTGACTATGGAATATGAAATGGAAGTTGGTCCTACTATATATTGGTACTTGTATTTGCATTTTGAGGTAACCAAAAGGGGCATGCCATTCTGAAAGCCCTTATGTGTAATGTTAATTTATCTTCATATATCTTATAATGTTCCTATCTGTTATAATTCAGATATTTTTATGTCAAAATTTAAGTTTCCAAAACTCAATTTCATCCTTCTTATTTGACATTCTTAAATGTGACAAAAAAATCTTTCCCTCATTGTATTGGGTGTATGCATCAAGTCACAAATAGCATATTTGCCCCAATACTGCATGAAACATTACATTGAATGAAAAAAATATATATAAATTTGATTTTATGCTACTGTTGCAGAACACATACATACAGTATCCCTTATTCTATAATATCAGTTATATTTGGAAACTGTATTTTGGAAAGGAAAGGGAAAGGGCGTATATTTTATTTTTAAATTAAAAATTTATGAAGAATTTATGAAGTTAAAAAATTATCACACTAAATTATAATGTTTATTTATTCTTTAAAAAAATTTATCAAACTAAATAGTATTATTTAATAATAAACAAATTATTCTCGTATTTAAAAACAAATAATATATATATGTCAGAGGATTTCTATGTTCAATGATATCCAACTAGATTATCACACTATGATAACATCTTTTATTTGCTCAATATAAAAGATTATATATTTAAGAAAATAGTACTCATGGATTTTAAGACATGTAGACAAATCTATATTTTGGAAGGCTAAATTTATTTCCAAAACAAATCATATGTTATCTTAGAAGACATATACTCAAATTTTTTTAAATTAAGTTTTATTGTGAATCTCAAGTATATAGAAAAATCACCCATATATAATCAATCATCTTTATATGCCCCAAGAGAACATTAACCAGCACCATTGATGTTACATTTTAAGATAAATTAGACAATTTCCATTGCATGGTTAATAACAAGTGATTCTCAAGTTGAAAAAACTTAAAAACAAGCACATAACTTTCTCGTCACAACAACATTGGCTTTAATCAAATTAAGTATAGTGTTGCAAGTTAATGGTATGTTAGACCGATACTCATTTCTCATTTCTAAATATTCCAAATTATATTAATTACAATATCAATAAAAATGTCCTTAATTTGAGAACTAGAAGATTTTTGAAAAAAAAAATCTTCAATAAAAAAAAAGCCAGAGAAGGTAAAAACTTCCTAAATGCCAATTCCAAAATTGCAGAGCATTTGTACCAAAACTAAATTTATTAATGTCTTTAAATTTTTTGAAATATTTTGTTATTTATGTCATTTATTGATTTTGACATTTATAAACAATTCTTTATTGTAGATATATACGGGCCTATGGGTAAGTTAGGTACTTCACCAACCCACTACACCTTTTGAAACAGCACATACACAATCTCCATCCACTTAAAAAAAAAAAAAGGAAAAAATAATAATTATTTGTCAATGGTGAAAAAAGTTTCATCATCTTTCATTCATTAATTCATCCCAAACATAAGAGGAGGAATAAAATAGAGGGGATGGTATCTTGGTTGGATTTAAGAAGCAAAAGAATAAAAAATGTTATCATACAGAGTCTCATGGGATTGGCTAATAGGGATAGATATTGTTTCAGAGGAATAAAAGTCGTAATTCAAACTCACAAGAAACCTGAGAACACAAAGTCATCTCGTAATCATAAAAACCTCATCTGTTGCACCATCAATATTTAGGACCACCCCACAATTCTAGTTTCCATTATCTTCTCACTTGGTTTATTTAGCAATTAAAGCATATTATCATCATATGTTGCTTGTCCCAAGAAGAAAAGGCATGCATAAGTTGATCATATTTATCACCCACTTCTTCCATTCAATAATAATACTCCCAAATTCACTGCCTCTTACAAACCATTTCATAAACTCTAATCTATCATTTAGTGAGAGAAATTTTTACTTTCACAAGATATTGAAGATCAATGATTTCATCTTTCATACTTGATTGAGTTTCAGTTCTTACAAAATTTCTGTTTTTGTTTAGATCTTTTATTTTAGCCATTGCAATATATTTTTTTAGTTCCTATAATATATAGATAATTTGTTTTTAATTCCTAATATTTTTTTACAAGGCACTAATTCCATAATGAATAAATATATTAAAATACATTATTCTAGTTTTTTTAAAACAAAAAACACTATGCTTTTGTTTTTCTTTTTGTTTTAAATGAAAGAGTTATGTATGAAGTCTTTTATTTTACCCATACGTACGATCTTTATTGTTTTAGATTGCGATTTCTAAATAAAATGTTATTCATTTTAGAGTAGATTAAACTGCATGAGCCCAAAGGAAAAATGAATTTTATTTGCTGTAACAGGGTACAGTAAGAATTGAATATGAACATAAGAACAGAGCAAAAAAAAGCTTTGGAATTCAAATTCCAAATTCTTTGTAACGGAAAATAAAAACGACAATCTCACGAAACAGCGTCAAGTTTCTTGTTTAATTTTGATCACGGTATTGTGACTGTAGCAACCTTGCGTAGAAGTCAAAACCAGGTTGTGAGTAGAATAAATATTGATGTTGCACGAAATGTATGACCTTTATTGTCTTCACATATATAGTTTCTTTAAGTGAACCTCTTATAATTTGGGTGAGTTTATAATGTGAAAATTATTTTCAGTGATATACTTTCATTTTGTTATATCAGATGTTAACGTTTGCTAATAGTTAAAGCCCAAATTTATTCTTTGGAGTGATTATTCTTAAAAAGTAATTTGTATGATCAAAGTTGTGAATAACTCATAATTACCACAGGATAACATTTTGTATGAAGTTTTGTGTTTCAAGATAATGTGAATGCATTTTAAAACAGAATCAGTGTTGTGATTGACATCATACTAAATGGAAAATGACAAATATGAAGGTTAGCCACCACCATACGTGCCTGCAAATGCAGCTTTCAAGTGACATGTTTCCCAATTTTCCGAAGGAAGAGAATAACTGCAGACATTAGTTCTAATCAGATAAAATTTATTGTTTTTTGTTTGTTTCTCTTTTCCGTAGTCTCATCTAATTTACCATTTTTCAAGGGAATGATCTAGACAGTGACCCTGTTGTTACATAAATAGAGGAGCTTTTCATGAGTTTCTCAAAGTTGTTCTAGTTATAGCAATTACCAAAAAAAGAAAGAGTTCTGACCATGGCTTCATCACTCTTTATGCCTTCATCCGTAAGCAAAATAATTCCCTGCATTTTTGCTTTGCTTTTTCTTCTCATTTTATTTTCTCTCCTCAGTTCTTGAACTTCACTTGTGTGCAATAACTAGTTTGATGCAAACTAATTGAATTATTCTTTGAGTGTTATGGCCAAGTTCAGCATAATTGTTGTTCATATAAATAGCCTATTTTGAATTTGAGTTTGGATCAAATTTATATGATGCATACTTTGCTAGTTAAATGACTAGCTCCAGCTTCCGAAATTTCCATGTTACATTGTGCTGGCAGCAGGAAATAGAAAGGGTCCCCTTTTTGTAACATATGTCTGGACTCTGAACCTTGTCCAAGCACAATTGTCCTAAATTGGCAGCTATCTTATTTGGTTGAAAAAGGATTTGTATCATGTTATGTAACGGTTTCCTCTAATTAGTGGACTGAGCTAGAATCTGAACTGAAGCACTACGCTTTCGTCATTGCTTTCTTATTGTTGGTCCCTCGTCAGAGATAGAAAAGTTAAAGTTCAACTCAATTTTTTCCAAGGAGAACCAGTCAATTCTGCCTAATTGATAATATTTGTAGTTGGATTACTGTTTTAAGAATATCGGTGCTTGAAAATTACAAGATTATTGTACTATGCAAACCTCCTATATTTGAGCTTTTTATATCATAATTTTTGTTTCAACATTTTTCTCTAGCATTTGCATACTGTAAATTGCAAATACAGCTTGTTTGATATTTTAAAGAAAATAAGAGTTTTGATTTTGCAATCACGGGCAAGAAAAAAAGTATCAGGATTGCCTTAAGCGAGGAAATGATTGATTTCCCATTCTGTGATTCGTGTCACCTAGAGGCTAAAACGGTCCTATAAACTAATCACAGAAATGTCATGAATGCTTATATATGAATGTTAATGCAAATTATACATGAACAGATAGTGGAAGAAGAAGCCAGGTTTGAAGCTGAAGTGGCAGAGGTGCAAGCATGGTGGAACTGTGAGAGGTTCAAGCTAACAAAACGACCATACTCAGCTAGAGATGTGGTGTCCCTACGAGGCAACCTCAGGCAAACGTATGGCTCAAATGAGATGGCCAAAAAGCTATGGCGCATTCTGAAGAGCCACCAAGCCAATGGCACAGCCTCAAGGACTTTTGGTGCACTTGATCCTGTTCAGGTCACTCAGATGGCCAAGCACTTGGATACCATCTATGTCTCAGGGTGGCAGTGCTCAGCCACTCACACCACCACCAATGAACCAGGCCCTGACCTTGCTGATTACCCTTATGACACGGTTCCCAACAAGGTTGAACACCTCTTTTTTGCTCAGCAATACCATGACAGGAAACAAAAAGAGGAGAGAATGAACATGAGCAGGGAAGAGAGGGCAAGGACGCCTTATGTTGATTACTTGAGACCAATCATAGCTGATGGTGACACAGGTTTTGGTGGCACCACAGCAACTGTGAAGCTTTGCAAGCTATTTGTGGAGAGAGGGGCTGCTGGCATCCACATTGAGGACCAGTCTTCTGTGACCAAAAAGTGTGGCCACATGGCAGGGAAAGTGCTGGTTGCCATCAGTGAACACATCAATAGGCTTGTGGGTGCAAGGCTTCAGTTTGATGTCATGGGGGTGGAAACTGTTTTGGTGGCTAGAACAGATGCAGAAGCTGCTAATTTGATTCAATCTAACATTGACACTAGGGATCACCAATTTATCTTGGGTGTGACCAACCCAAACCTTAGGGGGAAGAGCTTGGCAACTCTTATGGCAAAAGACATGGCTGCTGGGAAAAGTGGGACTGAGCTTCAGGCTTTGGAGGATGAGTGGCTGTCAAAGGCACAGTTGAAGACTCTATCGGAAGCAGTGGTGGAAGCAATTGAGAGGCAGAACACGGGAGAGGAAGAGAAGAGAAGGAAGTTGAATGAGTGGATGCACCATTCAAGTTATGAAAGGTTTCTTTCCAATGAGGAAGGTAGGGAGATTGCTGAGAGGTTAGGAGTGAGGAACCTGTTTTGGGACTGGGACTTGCCTAGGACTAGAGAAGGGTTTTACAGGTTCAAAGGGTCTGTAAAAGCATCGGTTGTTAGAGGTTGGGCCTTTGCTCCACATGCTGATGTGATATGGATGGAAACTGCGAGCCCCAATGTGGCTGAGTGCACACAGTTTGCTGAGGGGGTTAGATCAAAGCACCCTGAGATGATGCTGGGGTACAACCTCTCTCCATCTTTCAATTGGGATGCTTCTGGCATGACTGATGAGCAAATGAGAGACTTCATTCCCAAGATTGCGAAGTTAGGGTATGTGTGGCAGTTCATCACAGTTGGAGGTTTGCATTCTAATGCACTAATCACTTCAACATTTGCAAGGGACTTTGCCAATAGGGGAATGCTGGCTTATGTTGAGAGGATTCAGAGAGAGGAGAGGAACAATGCGGTTGACACACTTGCTCACCAGAAATGGGCTGGTGCCAACTACTATGATAGGTACCTTAAGACTGTCCAAGGAGGTGTGGCTTCAACTGCTGCAATGGGAAAAGGCAAGTCATATACTTCTCCATTCTAACAATACTTTTAATTCCTTGATGCAAACTTTAGGAGAAAGATTGAAAGTTTAGTTAATTGTTTTTCTAATTTAGTGTAAAGATTATTTTCACTGGTATGCCATCATGTCTATTGTGTATGATAAGATGAATGACTTCTGCAAATAATTGTTTTGAAAGTCATATTTAGAAGGCTTTTTGTAATTAGTTGACAGAATCTTTAGCCTAACAGAGTGTTAAAATTGAAATTTTCTTCTTTGATGTTGTTGTGTAGGAGTAACTGAAGAGCAGTTTAAAGAATCATGGACAAGATCAGGAGCTGTAGACATTGGAGGCAGTATTGTGGTTGCTAAAGCCAGGATGTGAAAGTGCTATTTCTGCTAAGGGTGGAATCTGGGGGGCAGATTCACCAACTCCTCTGTTGGATTAGAATAAATATCTTCAACAATTAAACAGGCAATTGAATCAATATTCTTCGATGCATAATTTCTTATATTTCTTACTTGTCCAGACTCTATCTGAGGAAGGAGAACAAGACATTTATTTGTGTTTTGTAATTTGTTTTACTCTTACTGTTGAACATATTATTACTAGTGTGTATTTGCGCATGAATTTGTTTAAGTACACAGAAAAGTTGTTCCAATCTAAAACATAACAAATTCAGAAAAATAAAAGAGGTTGGTCTTGTTGAATTAGCTAAAAACAAATAGGCAAATTTAGTTTAGTTATTGCTTTGTTTTTTAGCTGCATTCTAAATGGGTGGGTGGGTGTGCCTGGCATCCTTAGATAAGATGAAAAGACAAGAACCAACTAGAACAATGGAGACCGAGTTGAGTGTCAAACATCAATACCCAATTGCAAATGAAAAACCCTTCATTTATTTGGGTCATTCATTGGAGTGGTCTTTCTACTAATAAAGGGACATCAATTATTTATTTATTTTATGCATTTAATTTTCCTTCTTTTAAGTAAATAATTTTATCAAAGAAAACCATTTTAAAACTAACCTTTTTCAATATGAAAACATCATACAGTAAATTCAAAATATGTTTTTCTTTTGTAACAAAAAAAAATGAAATTTCCATACTTTGTTTTTAATTGTTTTAACCTACACTTCCACTGCAAATTTGGAGAAAATTTTAAGATTATTTCTTATATAAATAGGAACTCAATTAGTTGATTTGGTATGGAAATAGTCAAATAATCTTGGATTTCGTAAGAATATATATATAATTGAAGATCAAATTTAAAGAAAATAAAATGGAACGTGAATAGTTACATTAATATGAAAATTTGCTCTCTTTTCATATTACTGGTTATTTGTTACTTTAAACTCATTTTGAATCAATCATTATTTTCTGTAATTTCATTTTTACTAAGATTTATTGGTTTAAAGTTGCTGCAAAATTCATAAATTCATCCTTTATTTTTCTTAGTGTCTTATTATTTATTCAAATATTTGAGGTTACAGTATTCTTTAGGAAAATCTCATTATTAAAATTACTTTAAAAATATCTGTGTAATTAAATAATTAAACAATAAAATCATATAATATATGATATATATATATATATATATATATATATATATATATATATATATATAGGTGTATTTATATGAGTATTAATATATTTAACGAAAATATATGAACAGTGTTTATTTAATTTTAATGTTTTATTAATCATATATTTTAATTTCATGTCAACATAAATATAGACAGATAACAACAATATATTTTTACAATTTTCCGTGTTGAATTAAGATAGATGATCTGATTCGATGAGAATTACGTTTTAGCAAAAATAACTAAACATGTAAAAAGCTGAGTGTTAGAATTTAATTAAACTGTAAGTTTATAAATAATATATACGTGCTTAACTATCAATGTTTAAAACTTTCGTGTTTATCGTGAAAAAATTTATTTAATATGAATTAATTAGAGTTATTTTTATTTAGATTAGTAAATAATAAATACGATTTTATATGAATTAATTAGTTATTTTTATTTAGATCAGTAAATAATAAATTTTAATTTAGAAGTATTTTAATTAAATTTAGAAATATAATAATATAAGTCAATAGCTTACTCAACTATTAAAAAAAATAATTTATGCATCTCTCAGTTATTAACTTAATATAAGATTATTTTGATTTTCAACTTGAACATTAATTATGAATTCAAAATTGTTTAATTAGTTGATAGAAATGTATCGAAATAGAAAGGATTTCTAAAAATAAAAGACTAAAATTAAAATAATTTTTTTATAAAGGCATTTGTTGAAAATGTAAGTTACTGGTAAACGTAAATTACTATAAACATGAATGATTGAGAAATGTAAATTATCAAATATAAAATAGAAATTGATAGAAAAATCAATAAAAATATAATTCAACTAGTAAGAAATTCTATTGAAAATCTTTATTCGTCTTTGTAATAATTTTTTTTAAAATATAAGTTTGTTAATATAATTTTGTCACTTTCTTTTCTACATCTATTTAATCTTATTTATACTTGTTATCTTTTTTAATATTTAACTTTTCGATATATTTTTACTCTTAATACTCGATCTTCCGACTCAATTCTTTTATCTTCTATCTTTAACGTTTGATATTTCACTCTTTTCTATTTTCTTTTACTTTCAATGATTTCTAAATTTGTATATAACCGTTTGATATTTCTTTTAAGGAAAAATAAATTAAATGATGAAATAAAAATATATGTTTATTACTTAATTTGAAAATTATGTCTCAAAATTAATCTAAGTAAAGTTTTTATAAAAACCTCATTTGGACCACACATAGGATATTGGAGGAAATGTAAGTATATAATTTTATAATTTTTTTTATCTTATGTATTTGATTTCTATTAAATACTTTTTAATTACTTAAAAAACATTAATTAATTTTAAACAAAATAAATGTTTTTATATTTTAGTCATTTTAATTTATTTGACCATAAACACCCAAATCATATATAAACTGACTGTAAATAATGCAGGGAGACTCAAACAGTTTTGTTTTCTCATTTTATTGAAAAAATTGAAGTATGCACAACAATGTAGCAAGTTAAACTCTTTAATAACGTATAAAAATGCATAATTACGTAGCAATTTTAAGACTATGCTGATAATAATAAAACATAAATAGTTTAGAAGCATCGTAAATCACTGTTTTGGAATCACATGCTTATGCCTGTTAAGTGACTTGAGACATTTGAACTGCTTTAACGGGAGGGAAAATTTGTACAATTTTTCTTATCCTCGTCAATTTATAGTCACGATGGTATTATATCTCTACTAGCAGTTGGAATGCATGTGTATGTCACTTTGAGTCGGTGGAGACATAAATTTGTTCACACGGGGTTTGTTCTTTCGTAGTATTCAATTGCCAAAGTTTTAGGCCACATCCAACTCTTGATTTTGATTTCTGCCAAATTAATCCCAAATTTTGAGTTTCCATTTTTCACGGAATCACGTGTATATAGTCACGATGAGATCACAAATGTTTTTGCGTTCACCAACATTGTTTTTTCCGCACAAGCAAGTTTTCAGAGGCTATTATATTATACCCCTGATTACCCAGAAGCTATGGCCTCTAAAGACCTCAGAATCCACCTATCAAAAAACCATAACCTCATCAAAATCTGTTTGGGTGTGTCCGCACTCTTGATCATCATTCTTGTGATTGTGCTGTTAATTTTTACCATCTTTAAGCCCCGAAATCCTACTGTATCTGTCCACCCTCTTCACCTTGAACACTTTCAATTACTCTCACCAAATTCAAGTATTGCACCTTTGGGCCTGGTGATCACAATTGAGAACCCAAACTATGCAAGTTTCAAGCATGGAAATTGCAGTGGCTATGTTAAATATCGTGGCATTGTTATAGCAGAAGCTCCCTTCGGGGCAAGATCCTACCCTGCACGAAGCACTACCAATGTGACTACTACTGCGGATATTGAGACTGCAAAACTGATAAATGATCCTAACTTTTGGTCAGATATTGCAGGTGGGGTCTTCAATTTGACATCAGAGGCCAAAATTTCTGGGAAAGTGAGTATGATCAAGATCATTAGGCTCAAGGCCAAGATTTATCTCTCTTGTGGCATCTCTTTGAACATAACTGCTGTGAATGCTACTTCCTCCTGCATGTCCAAACTCAAGCTATGAGATTCTTACTTTCAAAGGGAGGAATGTAAGATAAATTATTTAAACATTAGATTTTTTTTATAAGGTCATTTGTGATTGTTTGATATTGCCAACATGGATTGATACTGAGTGGGTAAGGACTCTAACCTTTTTAATGGGTCAGTTACTTTTTTAGTTCAGCAAACAACCCTCAATAACAACTTCTCTTGGCACCTTTATGATAATAGAGTGCCTGCAATCAAGTGAAGCTCTTGTAATTCATGCATGTATAGTAATTTTTAGACGTGCCTCAATTTGCAAAACAAAATAAAATTATTGATTGATAGAGTAAAACACTCTTGTATTATTATTAATAATAAAAATTCCAATTCTCATTATTATTATTATTATTATTATTATTATTATTATTATTATTATTATTATTATTATTATATCCTTTTGAGATGCTTGCATGTGACAGAAAAATAGACCAATAAGAGAGTAGAACAAGTAGTGACAATCACGGTGGTGACATTTGTCCTCTTCATTATGCTCATTGTCTCTTAGTCAAAGCGCACACAATCTCTGCTGCAAAAATTTTCATCTGCAGAAAAAAAAATAAACACGCAAATATATTTGCATTTTTAATTATTAAATATTAAAATTATTTTGAAATATTACCTATTATATAATATTTAAGCATTATTAAATTGTGTCGTATATTTCCAAATCTGATATCATACAAAAGTATGATATCAGATTCTAAAATAGGAGAGAAAGTAAACTATTTTATCCAAGAAATGAAATTGAAATATAAGAGATTTATTTTATTTAATCAAAATAATTTAAATGCCGTGTATTTTATTTTATTTTTGCTAAAGTCACCCATTTCAAACTTCTACGACAAATAATCCGAATATAATATATTTTAATTTAAGAAACTGGTACGTTTGTCTCTTTTAAGAATTTCATATTTAAGTTTTCTCTTTCTTTCTTTCTTTCAAACACAAAAAAAAAAAACATAAACAAAATTTTTAAATAACAATTTAGACTCTCGTAAACAAACAGTTTTATATATATTTTTTATAAATTTATGTATTTGAATAATTTAAATTAATATTATTTGAATATTTTTTTCTCTATTTTCTTTTTCTGCATCGACATTAATTTAAAATAATATTTTCACTAGAACTTGTGCATTTCTTTCTATTTTATTTAGGTCTGGTTGTTCTAATTAAAAGGATTTCTTTCTATTTAATTAAAAAGCAACTAAAACTTTTTTAATTTAAGAGAAACTAAAGTTATTTTGCAAAGTTGAATTTTGAGCCTATTTGTTTTTCTTTCAGGAAGTCTTATATGTCTTATAAGTTTTGTTTACGTAAAAAAATATATATATATATATATATATATATATATATATATATATATATATATATAAACACTCTGTACACCCTATATTTTAAATACCTATCCTTTAAAAAAAGTATCATTTATTTTGTTTTTCAGTTTTTTTATTCTTTCTCCCGTGGCTATTACATTCAGCTCCCACAACTCTCTATTGCATTTTCTGGAAATATCACCAAATTTCAACATTTGTTTCATATTATATGTACTTTTGTTTATCCAAGGAATTTGGTCTAAAGACAAAATTATAGAGGAAAAAGAGTAGTACACATAGATTAACAAGATAAAGAAGTAATTTAAATAGTATTCAATGTAAAATTAAATTATATAACATAGTCTTCTTTAGTTTTTCAAGGACTCGATTTACTAAAATTTTGATCCACAGTGTTTAATATGTTGTCTAAGTAGTAATCATACACATTCAGAACTACGTCCAAGACTTTTTGAAAACTAAAAATAACTTTTATTTTTAAACATCAATTATCGTACTCATTCAGATTCTTGTTATCGAATACTGATATGTTATCATGCAAACTAATTCTTGTCATCATCATTATTCTTTTTCCCAGATCTTAAAACTCTTAAAATTGTGTTAATGCTGATATAGCTAGTCTCCACTTGCACATTGAGCTCCAGTAAATCCAAGATATTTTCATATTTCTTCGTGAAAGCTACATGTTTAACCCCTTTCACCAAATTACTATAAGGTTGTAAAAATTAAACATCAGACATCTTAACTTTCATAGAAATTGTCCTTTTTGTCGCACAACCTGATCCCATGTCTTGTTTTTTCCAAGTACCCTAAATCAATCTTTAATGTCTACTATTCTCCAATAAACCTATTTAATGCAAAATAAGAATGAATGAGTATAAAATGATGTATGCAAATATGATATTGAAAAGAATGGTTGAGAAATTATTATGTTCTTAATGTAAAAAAAAAAATACATAACATGGTAAAGTAAGGAGAAAGAAAGAGTAGTGGATATGGATAAATATGTCATATAGTGTCTTAAGAGGTAATAGTATATATCTTACAAGTCTAATGATTTTCTTGATGGTATAAAAAAAAAGGCCAAAAAACAAATATAACAACTTGACAAAGAGTAATAATGCAGCGGAAATTCAATCCCCCTTCTTGCGAGAATCAGCGAGGAGCACCAAACAAATAGAATCCAAAGCACAAAGAGACACCAACAATTTTAACGTGGAAAACCCCTCAATGCAAGGGTAAAAACCACGAGTCGTCCAGACCAAAGAAAAATCCACTATGATCAATAATGGGGTACACAAGAGTCTCCAATAATAATACCAAAAGGTATTTTCAATAAGCAGAATTAACTAAGCACAAATGCTTACAAAAGAGAAACAAAGAAGATGAAAAATCTCCAAAACAGGGCTGCTGGTGCGGGACCAATTTCTCCCAATCTAGACCTTCGATTGACGATCCGAACGGTCAGAATGAAGAACCATATGTCTGGAACCTACTATCCAAAAATCAGCTCGATCCAACGGTGAACGACTTCACAGCGACGAAAACACCAGTGCAGATTTAGGGTTATGCGGAGATGACTTTCTCTCTTTCTTTTTCTCTCACTAGACTTTTTGTCTTTTTTCAAATGACTCTCTTGTCCTCTACTAATCTGACCCATCTCATTTTACCCAAATGAGACATAATGGACCACACTATTTGGGCCTATTCTCCACATAGGAAGGGAGCCCAATAACCCAACAAATCTCCCCTCACGACTATGTGGAGATATCCGCCAAACCTAGCGATCTCACAACAAACTTCAAACTTTCCTCTTGGCAATGCCTTGGTCATCATATCAGCACCATTATCATCTCGTATGAACTTTAGCTAGTTCCACCAACTTAGCATCCAAAACATCACGTATCCAATGATACCTCACATCAATATGTTTGGATTTAGAATGAAAAGTTGGATTCTTACCAAGATGAATAGTACTTTGACTCGTCACAATACAACAAGTATTTATCTTGCACAAAACCAAGCTCCCGCAAGAATTTCTTCACCCATAACAACTCTTTGCATGCTTCAAGTAAGTGCAATGAATTCTGCCTCAGTAGTAGACAACGCCACACACTTTTGCAACTTTGATTGCCAAGCCAAAGCTCCCCCTGCAAACTGAATCAAATAGCCTGAAGTGGACTTTCTGGAATCAATGTCTCCAGCCATATCTGAATCTGAGTAACCCACCAAAGTAGGCTTATCACCTCCAAAACAAAGTCTCAAACCTCTAGTACCACGAAGATACCTCAAAATCCATTTCACAAGCATTCCAATGCTCTCTACCTGGATTTGACAGTAAATCGCTAACCGTACCAACAACAGTGTGCAATATCGTGCCTTGTACATACCATTGCATACATCAAACTACCCACCGCAGTAAGCATAAGGAACTTTTCTCATAGCTATCTTCTCAACTTCATTTGAAGGACTTTGTTTAACACTCAACTTAAAATGAGTAGCAAGAGGAGTACTTACAACCTTAGCATTCTCCATTTGGAATCTTTGCAACACCTTCCGAATGTAGTGCTCCCGTGATAGCCAAAGTTTCTTCTCTTTTCTATCACGAGTGATACTTATACCAAGAATCTTCTTAGCAGCTCCCATGTCTTTCATGGCAAATGACTTGCCCAGCTTGCTTCTTCAACCTCGTCAATTTTGGAAACATCTTTTCCAACAATAAGCATGTCATCAACATATAACAACAGGATAATGAAATCATTCTCGAAAATTTCCTGACAAAAACACAATGGTCGAAGTAGTCTTCTTGTAGCCTTGCTCACACATAACAGTACTCAAACTTCTTATACCACTCGCCTTGGAGCTTGCTTCAAACCATATAGGCTTTTTCGTAGCCTACACACATAGTCTTCCTTGCCTTCAACAAGAAAACCATCCGGTTGCTTCATGTAAATCTCTTCCTCCAAATCACCATGAAGGAAGGTCGCCTTCACATCCATCTCGCTCAACTTCCAAATCAAGAGTAGCAGACTAAACTTAACACAGTTCGGATAGATGTCATCCTCACCACAGTGAGAAAATCTCATTGAAGTCAACACCCTTTCTTTGTCTAAAGCCTTTCACCACTAATCCGGCTTTATATCCGGTAGATGTAGAATTGCTCTCTTGCTTCACCCCGAAGATCCACCTGTTCTCTAAGGCTCTCTTACCCTTAGGCAACTTCACCAAGTCATAAGTGTGATTATCATGCAGCGATTTCATCTCATCCCGCATCGCATCCAACCACTTTTGCTTTTCTTCACTTTCAACTGCCTCCTCATAACATTCGAGTTCTCCTTCATCACTCAACATCACATACTCATTGGTAGAGTACTTCTTAGAAGGTTGTCTTGGCCTCGTCAGATCTTCTAGGTTGAGTTTCGTGTAGCTCGTGTATATCACCAAGACTCTCATCATGTGATACATCATGTTCCTCTTCATCAACATTATCAATAGGAACATCCAAGCTATCTTCAACCTCGTTGATTATCAGCATCACCATGTTGTTCATCATCATGAGCATCAATATCCAAATCATTAATAGACAACCGAATTGGATCAACATCATCCACATTACCATTTCCTTTAGGTGTAGACTTCTTCTCCT